GGAGGGTGTGCAGGTATGTATATAAGAGGTGCAGCAAGGCTCAGAGAGGATGCCCGAGGGTAAGTAGGGCTGGGAGGGAGGTGCAGTGAGGCTGGGGAGGTTGTGTGAGGGTGACGCGCTCAGAGAGAGTGCATGAGCGTGTTCGAGGAAGGCATGGCGAAGCTTGGGGAAAGTATGCAAGTGGCAGGGATGCACGGTGAGACTTGGGGGCTGTATGCAGGGGTGCGCGAATGGCTGGTGTGGGGTGAGCACAGAGGGGCTGGGTGGAGGTAACTTTTCCCAACATTCTGTGATCTTCCCTACCGTTTTCCCCACTGACTTTCTGGGAAAGCCCGCTGAGAAGATCACAAATGGTGATCATAGCATCGTAGGACCCTGCAACCACTTGTAAGCGCGAGTTGGCTGCCATGTACCCAGATCATGATCACATGACCATGGGTTTGCTGGGACAGCCAGAACTCTGAGGACTGGTCATAACCATAATTTGTTCGGTGCCATCACAACTTCAAACAGTTGCTAAATGAATCATCGTAAGTCAAGAACTACCTGTATTAATAAGATCTGATTAGGAACTTCTGTGAGATGAAGGTTAGCTAGCTTTGGTCGTTTGCTTTGGTCTCATTGCTCCATTAAAAATATTGAATTAGAGCAGTCAAGAATTTCTTTTAGGACATGATATGTGCATATAATTTATGACGGTGTCTGCATTTATTTCTCAATGTTTTGATTACAACCCAAGTTAGTTTTATGCTGAATTGACCAGTTCAAGATTAAACCAGAGTTAATTCATAACATATTGTGTATAGAGACTCTGAGCAGCCCCTCCTTCTTCATTGCATATAGAGATCCTTTCTTTCAGTGTCATATTACGGTGAGATGGTTTACATAAATCCAAACATTAGATGATAAGCAATTCCAATGTGTCCTTATTCTTCTTGTATGTAGGGTAATCATATTCTTCTGATAAATACAAATAAGCCTGGCAAGGGCACATTTATTTTTGGTAAAAGAAGAGGGGATTTATTTGTCACTATATTACGAGGTTAGTATAGAACTAAAATCCTTTGAACTCCTCTTATATTTTTCCAGAACAAAAGAATTGCACTATATTATAATGCTGCTTTCCTTCTAGCTGGTTCACCACAAATGAGTAAACTTGCACAAGAAGGTCATTAAAGAAAGGAAACTCCTTCAGAGTGTCATCTGCTCTTGTTGTTCCCTCAAATCCCTTGTGAGGTCAGTGACCTATTTTTCATCAAGCAGCTCACATCATCAAATAAGGAGCGTAGAACGAAGATGAAGGAAAGCAAAAGCAGAGGGCTGTTGGAATAATTTCACTGGTCACCTACAAAGGAAGTGCAACTAAAAATTGGGGCCACAAGCATATTATGATTCTGGGTTTCCACAACAAAAGCAGTATTCTATCAAGAACAGGGAGTTCTTGGTTTACAACTGTTTGTTTAGTGACAGCACTGAAAAAAAGTGATTATGCGCATTTTTCACACTTCAGACTGTTGCTGCATCCCCATGGTCATGTGGTCAAAATTTAGATGCTTGGCAACTGGAAAGGATCTGTGACAGTTGCACTGTCCCAGGGTCAATGGACCACCTTTTGTAACCTTCTCAGCCAGCTTTTGAACTAGCAAACTCAATGGGGAAGTCAGATTTCTTAATGACCGCATGATTCACTTAACAACTGCAGTGATTCGCCTCGCAACTGTGGCAAAAAGGTCATCAAATGAGGCACAACTCACTTAACAACTGCCTTCCTTAGCAACAGAAATTTTGGGCTCAATTGTGGTTGTAAGTTGAGGACCACCTAGATCTCATTTCTATAGAGGGCTAATTTAATTCACTTTGCTTCTTGGCACCGGTTAGATTTTGCTTAAACCAGCCCATTCATTTCCACCACAGCAGCAAGAGTTGAAACAGAAGATAAATGAATCTTTTTTAAAGCATTAAACCCCTTAGAGCTTTTATTCATCCCAACATGTTGCACTTACTAGGAAGTT